AGCACAATGGTATATTCAAGAGCTAGAAATGCAGTCAGAATAAGAAGTTGTCATTGAATTGTTAGTACACTGCCCTATCTCCCAGTCTATGTAATTTCAAATCAATCTTGTGCCTCAGCAAAAAGAATGAAGCTTTCTTGTCTTGTAAAGCAATCCACTCTTTTCTTTCATTCCTTGTTCTGTTGTCTGAAGCATCAGGAGTTTGAATTAGATGGATTAATTGCCTTTCAGCTCAAAAAGAAGTATGAATCTTGTCTTTATCTCCTTTAATGTCAGTGATTCACATGGAGCGTTTGAAGTGCACATACACCTCTAATGACATAATCACCTAATTAGGTGATTTCAAATGCAACTATGCAAGTAGTTCACTACGTAAGTAGAGGGTTAATTTTCCTCTCCATTCTCCCAAGTAAAGTCACAATAGTGTAGCTCTCTACTTAAGAGCTTTACTGGAGGAAAAAGAAAAGATTTTCATAATGATGGAACGTTCAGATTAAAGAATAAAGAATTCCTGGCCTGGAAATGGCAGGCTATTTTAAAAGCTCATTTGTTCAAAATCTTCACCACATTCTAACAACAAACCCAACTGAAAGCAAAAGCAGGTATTTCAATCACATCCAGCAGTACACTGTCTGTTTTGCCAAAACATCACTATGATATCATACATAACGTTTTTCTCCCTTTTAATTTCTAATACTATAAATATAAATCTTATTGATAAAGCACCAATGCATATAGAGCATTAATAACAATCATTTATGATTTTGTCAAACTGGGTATTTTTTCAGTTGAAGCACATTGATAAAAACAAAAAGTACACAAGTAAGTAAATGAGTAAGACTCATTCTTATCGCTTATGAAAGGCAATTTTTCTAAAAGAAATTACCTTCAATAAAAAGCTATGGAATCAACATTTTATTTGCACTAGCAAACAGAGAGTACAGAATGTTAGCAATTTGGGAAACACACAAATATCACTTCAAGCTAGCAAACACACTGATGCCAGTTTTAGCTAACAACGACACCAACATCAGTTTCAGCTAGCAACCACAACAATACCAGTGCCTGCTAACAAACACACTGATACCGATTTCAACTTTGAAACACAACAAAACCAGTTCCACCTAGCAACAACATCAATAACATTACCTGCCAGCAAACACACGGATAGCCTATCAGTTTCAGTTAGCAAACACACTGATACCAGCTGCAGCAAGACAAAACACTAACACCAGTTACAGCTAGCAAAACACTGACAACAGTTCCAGGTAGCACCAAAGACAGACAAAAGTAAATTTCAAGATGAAGAATAATGTCTTGAAATCCTAATAATATTTATTAAAATTTCAACATTGTTTAACTCAATATTAATGGGTAATATTCATAATTAAGAACTGTTTCTTGGAATGTCATCACTACATTTTTGTTCTGTCTACATATAATAGTATGGATATGCCTTAATATTGATATGGATCACGTGAATAATACACTAAAACTAGGAGCAAATTCTGCAGATGCAGTCCTAACCAATTTTTAAACACAAGCCTCATTGAAATTTCACAACCTCCAATAATCAGATGTTACATTTTTTGGGGGGCACAATGTGATGTATGGTTGAATATGTTGCAGTCACTGACCTGATGGACTCATCCTTCCTGACCCGTTATTACCCCCTAATGTTTCAGAGCAGTTTCATTTTGTACATCACAATTATGTTTCAATTGTAGCATGATGCATACATTTATTAAACAGTTAGAAAACAATGAACTTCCTTTACCCTCAGATTTACTCCTTTGTTCTGTGTGCTGTGGTAAGCCTATATAAATATGACAAAGATTTTGCTTCAGGTGGTATGTTCTGCCTGCACCACGTTAATGGACATTTTTCCCATTGGTGCACCACTTAATCATTCTATCTTCCTTTCTGCAGCTGCTCTTTTTAAGATGCCAAGTGAATTTATTTCATGCATGACTGGATTTCAAGTTCTGTTTTCATGTTTTGTACTTTGCTATTGCAATAAATGTTCTGTGTGTTCCTATAACTGTGATAAGAGGATATTCCCTTAAACCGAATGCTAAATTACTGTGGGAAAGATTTGTAGCAACCCTAACAAAGTAGAATAGTTTTCCTCATTGAATGAATAACATGCATTGGTGTCGTGAACATGTCTCTGTGTCTATTTCCTCAACCCCCCCTTAAAGGATGAAACCAGCAGAAATAGAGGAGTCTGTTTCCTATCTGTCCAGGCACCCCATTGTTCCAGGCCAAGGAAACACATCATATGGGTGGCCAGATAGGATAGACCACGCAAAAGTTCTCACAGACCCTTTAGAATGCCCTACTTTCCACAACTAGTCAGTAAGGCGTGTGACAGCGACACACACCGAATCCCACTTTTTATGTTGAGCATATTGCCTTCTTCAATGTGGCCTAGGAATATTACTGAAAATAAAATTATTCTGGCATGTCTGTGTTCTGAAAAACTTAGGACATTATCAACTGCATACAGGTTTCCAATAAAGATTTTCCTATGATGGAAAGAAAAGGTGACACAGCAGAAATTTGGTCCTCATTGACTCCAAATGCAGGTCCACTGACCACAAACCCTTGCACTTGTAACGAGGGTCTAATATCTGATGTGAAATAACAAGGCTTCCTTCTTTACCATCACAGTGGTGGAAACAATCAACACATCTCAGTGGTGACAGGGCATGTGGTGTAGCTCATTTCTGTGGCTGACCACAAGAAAAGGGGAAATCAAATCATTACAACCAAGTAACAGCAGAGAGAGGGGGTTGGACTTTCTGCTCGGATACCTTTCTGAGGACAACTGCTCAATTGTTCAAGACCCCGGCCTGGAAGACGATATGGTTTTTTCAGGGCCGATATGATAACGATTATCTGTGACAAAAAGAGGATGATAACTGATATTTCAGGCCGATATTTGAATGCTTTTAACATGTTTTTTTTCGGGGTGAAAAGAAATAGGCTGTGACAACATGGACTTAATTACAAACCCTCTTTATTTAGTCATATGTTTCCAGGCATACATCACCACTATGAAAGTTAAAGAGCAAAAAGATCAAATGAAAATTCTTTCTCAAAGATAAAAATAAACTAAAAATGAAATGTGCATTGTAATATTGATGTTGTGGGTAAATTTCTCTACGGTTATCTTACTTTGGCTACACAACAGATGCCTATCGCTATTTCAAAAGCATTCAATTATTGGAGGAATGATGGCAATCATTGCGTAAGAAATAAAGCGAATCATGATCATGATGAGGCCAAATTAAGAAGCATAAAAGCGGCAAACGGGTATTTTCAGCTTTGCCTAGAGCTTCTGACATACAGTGCAAGCGCAAGCGAGCGCAAGTTTAATTTCGTGAACTGTTGCTTAAATGATGACTGTAATTCAGAAGGGCTGTGCTTTAGGGTAAATTTCTTTGAATGTTTCATTTGAAAGAATAAATATACATTACTATTTGTTGAATGTGCAGTGTCAAACTGTTGCAACTTATAAGTGCGCCAATTAGTCCTTATTACAAGTCCTTATTTCTTTTATATTCCAAGCTTGTTTTTTATCTTAAGTGTAGACTACTTATACTGATTCAAAAAGGTCCAATTAGCGTAGTGCAATCTGGTTAACGGCATGGTTTGAGCACAATGACCATTTTACTGGATACTTACCTTCTATCCTTGTTTCCAGCAGCTGAAAACATTTGAATTTCAAGGTCGGATTACGTTGTGTGGGAGAAACCAATCCCAACCTGGGCCAGATTAGCTGAGAGATCCCTCCACACTGTTCTGCAATTCTCCAAAAAAAACAAGTACTATGCACAGAGTCTAATGTAATTAGGTTTGTCTGAATGCCCTGTCATTTATGCTGTCCCCCTAGCTCCTCCTTCAGTGTTACACCACATCCCCCGTACAGAATTGTTTCTCAGTTACACACCTTCAGTAAAAAAAAAAAAAAAAAAAAACAACAGCATCAGCATCAAGGAGAGTATCTCAAAAATGATATGACACCAAGCAGTCTCTTGCATAGCACTAAACAAACAAAGAACCCCAGTGTTTGCAACTCCCCCCTCACAGAGTCCAATTCATCTTTATCTTACTCTCAAGGTCCATCTCCTGGGCAATGTCTGGACAGTGTCTAATTCCCACAACAACAGGCCTTACTTTGTAACTTACGGCACACATATAGAATTGTTTTCTTCTCTACTCCATCTCGGTTGTACGTCATGATGTCTCACTGCTGCATACCTCCCCACAGTCTCCTGCACACCTCTGACCCCCCTCCCTCAGTCTCTGCTCACATGCATACAAAGTACAATAGGATTTGTTTAAGGCTAACATATTGGATTGTCTGGTTTCCTTATACACTTCCAGACCTCCACATGCATAGTAGAGATAGAGTAAATGGTTGATATATCAATAACTTCAGTTAATATGTCAATAACTGTGGTTAAATATGTCAATAACTGTGCTTAAAATCAAGAAACTGACATCAACTGACAATGCTTATGACCTTCAACTGATAATAGTAATACATAACTGACATCTGCTAACAATGCTTATGACGTTTGCTGGCAACAATTTATCTCCACCATGTAACAAGCTTGATTGTGCCACATCAAGCTCCGCTTTTCTCTGGTGGGGCGAAAGTGGTCTGATTATGAAAACATAGCCGATTCGTACATTATGAAAAAATAGCTGATTCATACACCTTTTTCTACCACAGTTGTCTGTCTTGGCCAATGAGGGAATTTTGTTGAAAGAATGTTAGCCAATAGAATTTTTTCTGACAGAGGAGATGCATTGGGATAGTACACGCATTGCTTTTAAAAGTTTTTTTATCGGGAATTTAGATAAAAATATACTGATGACAGATTATCAAACATTTGCAAATATTGGCTTTGATTATCTAACGACCAGATAATCGGTCGACCGCTACTATAAATATCTTCTTTTCACTCTTGTTTTTTTTTTTGAGGGGTGGCAGTGTAGCATAGTGGTTAAGGAGCAGGACTCATAACCCAAAGGTTGCCAGTTCAATTCCCTGCCAGGGCACTGCTGCTGTATCCTTGGGCAAGGTACTTAACCCACAGTTGCCTCAGTAAGTATCCAGCTGTATAAATGGATAACATTGTAAGAAACTGTAACTGTTATAAGTCACTCTGGATAAGAGCATCTGCTAAATGCCAATAATGTAAATATAGATAAGCATATAGGAAAGATTTTGTTAAATTGCTCACTGATCTAAAGGACTTTAACCTTCACATTTCTTCCACAACATCAAAGCTAGCACACAATGTTTCTTACAGTATTCCTCAAGCATTTTTACATGATAGGTTACATTATTAACTCTGTTAACAATTACTCAGTTAAAATGTATTTATCTGACATAAATAACAACAAAGCAAGAAAAAGCTCATTGTGGAAGCCACCATATTGCAGAATGCATGTGATGTAGCCAACTCATGTATCCATCTGCCTAGCAAACATCACTATTCACAGAGGGCTAAATCTTAAAAAAAAGGAAAAAAAAAACTTAAATAAGGCCTTCATAAATGTTTAGATTGCAGTGTTTGCTAATGTAACAATGAAGTGTGTGGCAGCTGTTCAAACCTACTATGCCCCCCTGGGATTGTGCCCAGGGAAAATAGTTTTATGGGTGGGGCCTATACACCTATGCTACACAATAGAGGACCCCCAGAATTCTTTACAAGGAAGAAGCCAGAGACGTGATTCAAAGTTGAAATTCAAATGATTGAAAACACTTTTCGCACCGCTGGGAGAAGATATTTCCAATTAAAGAAACTGCACACATAGGAAGATGGTTACTACAATTTATTACTTTCCCCACAACATGGCAAAGAGTATAAAAATGTTGAAGGAGGAATAAAAAGTACAGGATATCCAATGGTTCCTATCAATCAGTCACCAATGGTACAATACTCAGACACCACACCAACACATGTTAAAAGTGGGTGAAGAGCTGTCTGGGTATACAGGGTATACTACTCACCACTAATGATTTTTACCTGTGTGAACAATACTCACCGCTCCGTGTGCAGCCACACTCAATCAACACAGCAAATGTGAACTTCAGTGTGCTTGTGCAGATTACTAGACATGCAGGTGAAGGGAGACTCCACTACAAACTAAACCCCCACCACCAGACAGCCTGAGCCCACTGCATTCGGGTGCGCTACCCTAATCGAAGAAGATTTAAAATACGCTAAAACCAGCTGGTTTGGTCATTCATCACAGAATCACATAAAAGAGGCATTTATAATCCTATGGGCTAGCCGGCTGTTTTATGTCGGTGCCCCACGGGGGCACTTAACTACCATGCAGTGCTGCTAGTTTAAAATAAGGATTAAAGCTATCAAGCAAAACAGCAGCTAGCGTCACAGACTGCCCCTGATCTAGACACACGGAATAGAAATCAGATGATTCTGGCTGAGTAGCCCTCAGAACTGCCGGCACTATCCCAGCCTACAAACACCTGCAATCAGTGACCATGACACAGGTTACCTCAGCCGAACCAGTTTTCTTTTAAAATACGGGAAGCACTGGCAATCACTGGCCAAGCAGGAAGCAGGAACAAGGGAGGTGGCGGACTCGGAAGCGGAAACAAGAGCAAGAGCAGCGTATAGCATGGCAGGTACGAGGGGTTTAAATAGAAAAGCACGTAGCAGGCTGTAATCGCCTGGGCGGCAACCATCACACCCTCAATCATCTGAACCCTATGGAAAGCAAGGTGACCTACCCCATCACACTAATATGATAGCTAACATTACCTCAGTCAGCTGTTAACTAAGAGCACAGAAAATATTGTTCTTTAAAAGACCTACCTAGCCAGCTAGCACATTTACTTAGGTAGCAGTGTGATAATAATTAGCAGGGCTTGTAACCTGAGGATTCCCATTTAGAGTTCCATGTTGAGCACTGCTGTTGTTGGGCAAAGTTGCTATTGAAACACTGACTATTTTTTACATTTACATTACCCTGCAAACAAAGGGTGTTTCCAATTTGAGCAGGTCCACAATGCAGGATGTGACATGACTGATACCCACACTATGATCATGCATGAATGATACCTACATGATAATCACCCCATTCATTCAGGGTAGACTGAGGGCACATACCGTGACTTTTAATACTTACAAAGATTGGGAAAATGCCCATTGGAGACAATAGGTGCTGCAAGTTCATGGAAGCAAATTGTCAGCACTCAGGAGATGCCAAGCCTCACTGTAGCCTAGTGGGTGCCAAACAATAACGTTTGATTTAATTCCCAGGAAGCAGGAAATTACAGTGATCACTGTGGTGAGGGTGGACATTTTGCTTTTAGATGTGACAGATAATTCTCACACAGTGCTACAGAGACAGAGAAGCGATAAGGTGTGACTAAGAAACACCAGTAGAGCAGAATGCAACACAAAAACTTCTCACGCACCCCCATGCCTAAGAAAAAGCAGCATTAATAACTTTGACTAATAACTACCTGTTCAATTGCTTAAAAACTACTTGCAAAGAGGCTTTAACCCAATAGACATTCAGACTTCAGCCTAAACTAATGTTTTCTAAAATATACACCCACTATCAAACAAGTAACATCTCTGTGACTGTGATTTGGATGGGACTCTGAGTTTTAGAGGTCCTAGAGTGTTGAAATATCCCACAGTGAAGAGAATGAGTTACTACATGTGAAGTCCATGCTATAAATGACCTTATAACTCAAACTGGGCTTGATGTCCATGTGAATTGAAAGCTGCATCAGTGAAAGGAGTAAAAGTGTTAGGATATTTTGCCCTTCTCCGTGGAACTCAATGCAGGACGATGAAGAACACGCTGACGACTTCTCTTAAGAGAATTTTATTTCAATGCGCAAGGGAGAGACAATCTCAGGACATTCGGGCTGTCTGTACCGAGAGAATCTCTAAAGAATCAGGTTGTGTGGTGTGTTGATATACAGTCCATGGTCATACATATCAAAAGATTGAGTTAAGTGGCGGGCCGGAGACAAATGGTCTTGTGCCATGGGAACCCTGGCAGAGCCATTCAGCAAGGATGTGTGACATCATTGCTGCAGACACTACAGAGGTGTTGTATAGACAAATTACAGACATATATGATACTAAATAAAACTGGGAACCTATCAGTGTAAAACAGAATTCCATATACATTGCGATCAATACAACACATCATTTTAATTACAAAGATATTAATTTCTCAATTTACGGAATATATTTAATCTATATTTGACAGTGCAAAGCTGAAGCTGGTCCTATTATTTATTCACAACTTATTTGCCTTAATGTTTCTGAAACTGAGGTGACAGTTTCACCCGTGCACTAGGTTCAGGAGAATGTTGCTGTCACAGGGGTGTGTCGGTCAGAACACAGGAGTCAGGTTTACAGTTCAGAGCTTTATCCACCTTATTCCTGGGGGCGCTACTGTGGAAATGATTATGGGTGGAACTTACAATGAAGCAGCGGAAGTAGCCATAAGCAGCAACAATTTATTATGCTTCCGAATGGCTAGCCATCCACTGCGGTCCGTTCAAACGCGTGTAACATCCTGTAAAACTTACAATAAATGCCGAGGAGTTTATTTGCTTACTTCACTTTACCGGCGTTTATTGGAGACTCGGTGATAGTAAGAGACCTGCACTTATTTCACCTAAAGCCCTCAGGCTTCTGCAAGTTATTGGTAGCTGAACTGACCAGGAACATTCACCATGTTTTTTCCCCAAGTAGCCTGCTTAACAAATATTATACAGCGCTTTTTGGTAGCAACTCAAACAGGAATCACTAATAAAGTGAGTTAAACATTGTCATTGCAGTCTGTAAGAATAGCAGTATCACTGTGAATTTAGGCAACTGTGACGACCCTTATCACCATAGGTGTCAGTTGTGGTGATTAAGGACAGCCAAAACGCAGGAATTCCTCACTGCTCTTCCATATGCTTGGACGTAGCTTGACCTGAAGTCATGGTATGGACATCAGAGACAGAAGACGGCACAGAGAACATTGAGAGATCAGACTGAGAAGAATGTGGCATACCCTGGACAGGAAGGAAGTTCACCAGCATGAGCAGATTACGATGAACCACTCGCTCAAAACCCGTGACGGTGTCTTGTATCACGTATGTGTGGGTCTTGGCATTCTTATCAATGACTGTATAAACAGTAGGCTCCCATCTGTCTGCAACTTTCCTCTTTCCTCTTTCTTACTAGCCACAAGCACACAGTCACCAATCTCAATCGTCGCTCCCTTCACCCTCCTGTTATAAAGTCTCGTCTGTCTGTTCTGTTCTTTAGTCACATGCTCTTGAGCAATTAACATGGCTTCCTTCAAGCCCTCAGACAGCTTTGTGACGTACCTGTCAAAGTTGGTGACATCGGGATCAGTCAAGATATTTCCAAACAGGATGTCTACTGGAAGACATGGTACCCTCTCAAACACTAAGTAAAACGGTGCATATCCTGTCGTTTCATGAGAAGTGCAATTGTACACGAATGTGAGAGTTTGTAAGCGTCTAGGCCAGTCTTGCTTTGCTTCAGGAGGAAGAGCTCTGATCACATTTCCAAGTGTTCGATTAAAGCGTTCAACGCTGCCATTCCCCATCGGGTGGTAAGGGGTAGTGTGGGATTTTCGTACACCTGACAATTTCAGAAGCTCAGCAATCAACTCACTTTTGAAGCTTGGTCCCTGGTCACTGTGTATTCTCTCAGGAAACCCGTAGACACAAAAAAACTTCTCCAAAAGAACTTTTCAACTTGTTTAGCTGATTCATCTCTGCAAACAAATGCTTGAGCAAGTCTGGTAAAATGATCAGTTATCACTAAAACGTCCACTGACTTATTCTGTGAATCCTCGGCTGACCAGAAGTCGATGCAAACAGGTTGAAGAGGTCGGGTGGTGACAATACTTTCTAAGGGAGCTCTTCCATCAGGCTCGGCCACCTTGCTCACAATACAACGCTGACAACGACATATTCTCTCACATCTTTGTCCATATGGAGCCAAAAAAAATCTCTGTCTGGCAATGCTCAATGTTCTGGA